AGTTTAGATAATTATTACAAAGCCTAATAAAGTGAAGGCAAGACTGCCGAATTTATTAAAAAAAAAAAAAAAAAAAATTTATTTTTTTAATATATAGATAATTATTTGAATAGCTATTGTTAATTATAAGCAGCAGATTTTATAAATTTATATTAATATATATATAAACAAATATAAACTTCAATTTTAATAAAGTTACAAAGAAAGTAATCTTTGCTTCTCAGCTAATTTTATTGCAGATATGTACTTTTTTTTAATCTTTGTAGTCTATTATAAGAAAAGGTATTATTTATAAGAATATCAAAAAAAGTGCAAACTCTTGATATTTCTACAAATATAAGATCTATAGCAAATTCTTTATTACTAACATTTATTATAGTTTGTAATAATGTCAAATCTTGTGATTTATAACTTATAATTGCCCAAGCAAGATATAAAAAAAATTATATACAAGTGCAAGCTCCTAATTTGCCTTCTCAAGTATATCTAATTAGATGAATTGGTACCACTTGTGACTATCTAGTGTTGAAAATATTAAACCTACATAATTATCCATTTTGAGTAGAACTAATATAAGTAATGAAGGTGATGTTTTTTCGAACTCATATACAATATCAACAATTATATCTATTGCACCATTGACCAATCCTTAATTGATCCAAAGATTAGAGATAAGCATTACACATTATTGTCTATAGTGTATAATTGGTCAAATATTAAACTATCTTTTGAAAGAGCATTTAATCTATTGTGATTGATTTCAATGTTAAAATATAAAGGATTATTGTTTTTGAGATATCTTAACCAGGTAAAGATATTTGATTATTTAACTTTAAACTCTTGAAATAAACTAAGATCTTGTTTAGCCTTTCAAATAATTAAAGTATCAATTTTAGAAGGATTTTGAGGTAATTTTATAATAAACTTCTGAAAATCTTGTGCAAAATTAATTACATTCTCTTGATATCCAAGCTGCCTACCTTGAAGTTTATAAATGGTTAACATAGAAAGGATTTGCACAATAAGCATTTTTATAAATTATACCCGTGTTTCATACATGGGTGTAAATTTATAAATTTCTATTATGTAATTTATAAAATAATTTTTATTTTACAAAATTCCTTAAACATTAAAAAAAATATAAATAAATTAATCTTTTTATTAGCTTATACATATATACAGTATAATATTAAAAAAAGTCTAGTCAAAGCTTTTTTTATACGTACACACAATATCGCTATTGTTATGTAGTGTATGAGAATAAGGTAGTACATGTGCTACAAAATTTTTTTTATACGTATATATCGAAAGTTTACGAATTTGGCCTAATTAATGCCGGCCAAATTTTTATCAGTTGTCCCAGAATTTGAGAAACTGATTCGCTTATAAGAAAAGCCGGATTCGCAAAGAATTTTCTATCTTCTATATACTATATACTATTAAAATTTTAAGCGTTTGTCCGTTTAAACAATCTGATTGGCTGATTTTAGGACCTGTAAACCTGGGCCATCAGCTGAGATTTTGTCGATCGTTCACAACTTAAAATTTGAGAATTGAAAATGGTATTAACGTTAAAGCCAATTAGGATTAAGCGACTAGATATGGTTAAGCGATTATTATTAAAAATCTTTTAAAACATAAATTTTAAAATAAAAAATTGAAATAACTATTTAAAATATTCTAAATTAAGCACGGACATTTGGACGTACGTACGCTAGTATAAAAATGACAATAACGGGGGCCTATATAAAGATATCTTGGTCTTACATACACACCGCGCACAAATAGAAATATTCTTTTTAAATTATAAATTTAACTTATAACTTCTCTAAATAATAAAAATTCTCTAACAAAAGTGTAATTTAGCTAAAAATCTACCAATTTGTTAGTTTTTGTTAATTAGTCCATTTTAAAGAATTTATTATGATTTAAAAAAAGGTTTATTAATAAAAAGTGGATGGTGTTTGCTGTCCGGTACAGTATAAAATTAAAGTTTTTACATAGCTTAGAATCTAGCATTGTGAGTACCAGTGCTCATTTATGGCGCCTATGGCGAATGTCTCATGGTCACGAAAAAGCCAGATAACTTTAAATGATCTTCGTGCTTGGGCTGGTGCATAGAAGTTGAAGCAAATTCGCGTGCTACGTGAGACAAATCCAACGTGGCCTTAAGACCGCAAGGATAATGATTATTTAAACATGATACTTTACCAAATTTGAATTCTTTTTTTGAAACTTTATTTGGAAAACTATTCTTTATTAGTATATATATACAAAAAAAAATATTTTTAACCTTAAAAATTTTAAACGAACTTTTATCTTCATACTTTCAATTGCTTTAAAGAATAATTTGAAATAATATGCGCAAATTTACTTTTGATATTATATCTTCTTTACCTGAAGAACTTAGTATTCAAATTTTGAGTTTTCTTTCTGTCAAAAGCTTGATCCAATGTCAACTTGTAAGTGAACCTCCTGAATATGAAGATTTGTTTATTTATTTGGTGATTTCATAAAAATTATTTTTAGGTGTGCAAGCGTTGGAGAAATTTTGCTAACGATCCTATCATATGGAAAAGAAAATGCCTTGAATTAGCTAGTCATGATATTAGTCCACTAAAGTCACCTTCTAATCCTGTTATGTGGTACCCTTTGTATCGTAAACTTTTTAAGCGTGAGAACAATTGGGAAAATGGGCGTGTTCAAACTGTTGATTATTTGAATGGACATTCTGATCGAATTTTTTTCGTAGCAATTAAGGATGGAATGGCTGTCAGTCTCGCTTGGGATAGAACCATGCGATTTTGGGATGTTGAGCGGGGTAAATGCTTATCTGTTATATTATTAAACCATATGGCGGAGGAAGTAGATTTTTTGCCAAAAAAATGGGTAGTTGCTGTTTCCTTTCGGATGGAGTAAGTTAATTATTCTTTTTTTTTCTTATGAAAATTTACTATCAATATACGGATTAAGCGGAATTTTATAGGTTTGTTCACGTGTATAATCTGCGTGAAGGAAATTCCAGGGTGGTGCTCGTAAGTCCTAAAAAAGTTCCACTTAATTGTGTGAATATAGGAGAAGAAATCTTGATTTCTGGTTCGGACGATGGAATAATTAACGTTTGGGACTGGCATTCCACCAAATTGTTAACTTATTTTGAGACTCGGGGTGGGGTGGGAATTTATTTGATTAATAATTTTTTATTCCAAAAATAGCTTAATGTCAAATAATCTAATATCTAATCAGGTGTGTATATATTTCTTTTTATAGGTACTTTATGTGAAGGTCGTTAATTCAAATACTATAGTTTCACTTCATAATGATGGAATTATTCAAGTTTTTTCCGTGACGCAAAAAAAGGTTACGCAGCAATATTCGTTTCTCTCAATGGTTTTTGATGACACATTGCATAGTGCCGCCATTAACAGAGAGTGGATTCTATGTGCCACCCAAGACCTTATTTACCTTTTGAAGTGGCAATTCCTACCAGATACGCTTGAGATAGACGTAACAAAGCCGCCTAACTTCAATTGGAAAATGGATGCACCTGCTGTAGTTCCATGGTGTGGTTGTCTTGCTGGTAAGGGACGTTCTGTTTTAAGCAATTGTTCATCAACTGGTCCTATTTGCGTTGTGAAACCTGGTGGTAGCGTCAAATTTTTGACTGAACCTGGGCAAGAAGGTGCTGATTCTCTTAAAGGTTTTAAACTGTTAACTTTGACCGAACAACCTACTTTTATGGATGTTGACGATCGTTTTTTATTGATTGGAACAAAGCAAGGAAAATTGATACGTTGTGGATTTGATGATACGCAGTTACCTCTTGTAGAATAAATCTGTAATTCTATTAACAACATTTCATAGAATTTTTCTTAATTAAATGTGTGACTTTTGTGTATTTGCCATGTACGACGATGAAAATCTTATATAAACTATACAAGTTTGTCATTTCTGGTTAGAAGGATAGCAATAATAGGGAGTTTATTTTTATTAATCGGCTAGGCGTGTGAAACTTCAATTGCTTTATCTATAATATATTCACGTTTTTTTGCAGATAACATATATATTATATATATACCAAAATAAAAAATAAAAAAAGACGTGTTTCATGACAAATGCAAAAAAAAATTTGTAACCGTTAACATTCTAGTTTTTCGTCAAATTTTCAAAATTGTAAACTAAAAAAAAAAAAAAAGGCAATAACAAAGAAAATGAAACCTTCTGTTCGTTTTAGCACTCCCTTTGACGATGAAGACGAAGAAGACACTCTGTTAGAAAGGGATAACAATTCTCACTTGAATTTCAGCGGATCACCTTCGAGCTTTAGAAATGGTCGTAGTCATGGTAAAACTAGTCATAACCCACAAAAACCATTTCAAGGGCAGACCTTTGTAGTATACGGTTATGATGAAACTCAAAAACAAAATTTAGAAGAAATTATAAAACGTCAAGGCGGTTCTGTAACTCAAACACTCAGCAATCGGGTAATGCTAGACGACATTATTATTATTATTATTATTATTGCTAATTTATTTATTTATTATTATTATTATTATTTTACTATTACGTTTATTTATTTTCGTAGACAACGTATTTTGTCACAGCCAAATCAGAGGAAAATTGTGAAGAAATTGACGAAATGGTGCGTTTTAATCACAGTACTCACATGGTTTCCGAAGAATTTATTTACGATTCGGCAAATAACATACATCATTTACGTGATGCGGAGGTATTTGAGAATATTGGGTATGCATTTCAATAAATAATTTAAGATTATTATGTTATGATAGATTTCAATTTATTTTTGCTCTTTTTTTTTTTTTTTTGAAGATCCTTTCTTTCAATTCTTAACGCCTAATTTATATTTTTTTTTTCATTTTTTATGGTTCGTTTGCAGGAACTCAAGACGGCGACGACGACGACAAGGTCAAATGAGAGATCCAGATGATGATGATGATGATGATGATGAAATACGTCGACCTATTAATCAAAAATCGAATTCTTATAATGGACCTGTAGGCGCAAAATATTCGAGGCGTCATAGTTTTCATCAAAGTAATAGTTGGGGTCCGGATTCTACGAATGGTGACCATAGCCCTTATTTATCGGATGAACGACACAGCGAGTTAAATAACAGTGGTTCTGAGTTGGAAAGATCATCTGAAGACACTGATTCATCAGAATTTGGTGATAATGATGTGTTCGTAGCTGTGGAAGCCGAAGCACCCTATAATACGGATAACTCTACGTTAAATCCAAAAGCTGCACAATTGTCTCAAGATATGGCGAAGGAGAGGATGGAGTGGCAAAGTTTTTTGGCTTCCGTACTTACCGGTGAAGTCATCAAATCAGAGAAACGTCGTCTGTCAGGAAGTTCACGCCAGGCGTCTAACATTTCTTATCATCTATGGTTTCAAATAAACACAACATTACGTCGTTTACCTAGTAATTTAAATGAAAGTCGTCGGCAGATTGATGAAATTCTTCAAGAGGTTATAGATTTTGAAGTAAAACCCGATGACGTACCAGCTTTTGAACAAGTTGTTGAAATTCTACACAAAGTTGATGTATGTGAGAGTTTTTATCCTACGCGCAAAGCAATGATGGTAGATAAAGCTTTATATAAGTCAACCGAATTTCAATATAATTTGGATGCGTTAAATTCTTGGCTTACGGTGACTAGAAGTTTTCAAACGCAATTAAAAATTTTACAAAATTGGACTGGAAGTGACGATTTAGAAATTGCTAGGCCTAAAGATGCTCCAGCTGACGCTGAAAATCCTTCTTTTCTTGAACGAATATTAAAAGAAAACAGTTTAAAACAGACATTTGAAAAACGAACACTTTCCACTTTGACCTCGCTTTTGTTAAGAGCTAAACGTGTCATGATCGAAAACGCTGAGATTTTTGAGAAAATGAAATTACCACCTTATATTGATGAATTACCTCTACTTTTAAACTTTCCCTCAAAACTAATGAAAGAATGTATGATATTTTTACTTGAATACGTTAACATTCTTAACGATCCTACGGCGATGATGGTGCAACAAATGATGGATGATTTTCAAATTTCCCTTTCTTTGGCGTGTAAGATCAAACATCAATACCTTGAACTTGTTAAACCTGCAAAAGGATGGATGATACCTTCTTCTATTGATGAAAATTATGATACTGTGTTACTGGATTCATTAAGATTCTATTTTAAGTTATTGCAGCTGAAAGTTAAACCAGGTTTTAAAGCTATTTTCTTTAAAGAAGCAGAAGTTTTAGATTCTGAATGGGCTTTTTTGAGTGGAATTTGTCGACACATTGCAGGCGGTGAGACTGAGACTGCCGAACAATTTTGGTAAGTGGTCTCACTTGGAATATTATCTGGTAAATATTAGGTATGATGCATTTTGTTGGCTGGCATTATATTTTTATGCTCGAGAATGAGATTTTTATATGGATAATATTTCAAAAGATATGAATGAGTGATTTAAGTAATGCTGGTGTTGGTTTTTTTTTCAAATTAGAGTTTTCCAATATCAAGAAAGTAAACGAACGTTTACCAATTTCTGACCGTGTTTCAACCAATTTTATAGTATGCTTACGAATAAGTTACTCCTGAGTATCATGACTTATTTTGACTCCGAACTGGAACATGTACCCAACGATGTCGATTGTGCAAACAAATCAAAAGTATATAACAAAATTTTGGACAGCGTACGATTGAGATCTCGAAAGTTGTTACGTTTCACGAAGTATGTGTGCGTTATGATATTTGTCATTTATAACTATTAAATAGTTGAATATTTCTAAAATTCTCAAATGAAAAATGTTAGATTCCTTTTAGGTGAACTTGAAAATGCTGCAGAATATTATATAGATGATATAAATTATGCTTCTTTCATAGAAGGATTGGAGCGTACTAATCATGTTCTTGTATATCCTGATACTTTTGATGATGATGGTGTATGTTTAATCGTTGAACCTTCTCTTCATGATCGTCCTGAACAGATAAAAAAATTGCTTAAATCTGTTCTTTCATCTTATGATAAAAGACCTGATGATAAAAGACCTGATGACGAAAAAAGGCCTGATGATGATGATATTGATTTAAAAGGCCTTGAATACGTGATCATATTGTCACCCAGAGTTACTTTTGAATGGAATGGACTCGTCATGGTTGTATCAATGGAGAAATTTAACCTTGACCTCAAAACTCATCATACCAGATTAGTAGCTGATGGAGCTTACCGATTACAAGCGTGCAAACAACGTTTTCGTAAATCAGTAGATGATTGTAATATTAAAATATTGTCGGAAGCACGACCAAATGTTCCCTATGTTAATCATGAAACTACAAAAATTAAAAAGACTATTTTTAAATTAGTTAATAAAATAATAGATAGTGTTAACACAATACGTAGTAGGACGATGAACGGAGAATGTCAAGACTTGATAGAGAATTGTTTCAGTTTTGCTACTGAAGTTGGTCAACGTTCTCTTCGTTATATACATCGTGAGGCTTGGCGTTCCCAACTAAATTTCAAGTTGACCCGAATGTCTATTGATTGGGTTAGCTTCATATGTGATGATTGTGTTCCTACTGATCGTAAAACCTTCCGATGGGCTGTGATAGCGTTAGAATTTGCCATGGCAACTAATCGTGGCAACAATATTTTAAGTTTGTCTGAATCTGAGTTTGCAATGTTACGCAGTAAAGTTGGTATGTGTATGAGACTATTCATTTCTCACGTAGACATTATGGGTGCAAGACAATCATATGAAGCTCAAGAACAACAACGTCAAGGAACTATTGGAAATGCCGAAGGGCAGTCTATCGTTCAACAAGTGAAGAAATACCGTGGTCAAATACATAATGGTGAATGTGTTAATGCTACGCAAGAAGGATTGATAGCAGCTATACACCAATTAGAATTCAAGCGCGCACAAAAGGAACAAGAACAACGACTTGTAGGCAAAGTTCTTGATGAAGATCCTCAAAATAGACCTCTTGTTTTCTTGGCTTCATCTAGCTCTAATATTTCACTTCGTTGGCAACAAGGAAAATTTATAGGTGGTGGTACCTTTGGTTCGGTATACATGGCAGTAAATTCGGATACTGGTGATCTTATGGCCGTTAAAGAGATCCGGTTTCATGATCCTTCTTCACTTACCAAACTTTATAAACAAGTTAAAGATGAAATGTCTGTTATGGAAATGCTTGATCATCCTAATATTGTATCTTATTATGGTATTGAAGTGCATAGAGATAGAGTTTACATATTTATGGAATATTGCTCGGGTGGATCTCTGGCATCTCAACTCGAACATGGACGTATTGAAAATGAGAAAGTAGTACAATATTATGCGTATCAAATGTTAGAAGGATTAGTCTATTTACACAAAAATAACATAGTACATAGAGATATAAAACCAGATAGTAAGTTTATTTTATTTAAATTTATTTATTTTTTTTAAGTTGGCCATCTAAAATTTTATCTTTTGTTTGCAAAGATATATTATTAGATCATATAGGAACCATTAAATTTGTTGATTTTGGTGCTGCAAAGATTCTCGCCAAGAATCAAAGAACTATGGGACGCACGACTCTGGGTGCTAAGACGAATGTCAATAGTTTAACGGGTACACCTATGTATATGGTTAGTCTATCAAATAACATATTTCTTATATTTTAAGTAGTGTTTGTAGTCGACACAGATTTGTCGACTCGACTAAGCTGATATTTAAGAATCGACTAAGTCGAGTCGCTTACTCGTTGGATATTTTCCAGTATTCATAATTCTCGATTCGACTAAGTCGATTTTATCAATTAGCGCTGAATCGACTACAATCACTATATTTGAGGTTTCATATTAATAATAAGTTGTTCAACTTCCTTGTTCATATAGGCGCCGGAAGTTATAACTGGTGGAGAAAAAGGTCGTAAGGGATCAATGGATATATGGTCATTAGGTTGTTGTGTCTTAGAAATGGCGACAGGACGACGTCCATGGTCAAATTTAGATAATGAATGGGCCGTAATGTACCACGTAGTGACAGGCCATCCCCCGTTACCGGAAAATTCTCAACTATCAGAGTTAGGAATTGACTTTCTTAAACAATGTTTTATCAGATCACCCCAACACCGTCCTTCGGCCGAAGAACTACTTCAACATCCGTGGATGGCTATCGATTAGTTTCAGAATAGGGGCGACAAAAATAATAGCTTGAACTAATTAAGCCGTTATTTAATCGCTATTTTATTTATAAATAATTTTTATTATTTGCCTTCCCTGTTCTGCTTTTTTGCAGTTCTTATTTGCTGCAGATGTGGACGGTTATCATAACGCGACAAATAGAAGATGCAGGAAAAGTAGAGGCAAAATTAATAAACTCGTTATATATTGATATAGAAGGCGATAAACAAGTGATTTAATAAATTAAATATTTAATGTACCAATATTAGGTATATGACTTAGTGATGTAATAAATCAATGTATTATAAATAGCAGAAATAAACAAAAAAAAAAAATTATTTTTATTAAATTATTTACTATTTCATTATTTATGGTCGTATATCAATTTATATAGTATTTTTTATCCTAATAGAATCAAATTATTAGTTGATTATAAAAGTTCTAAATCGGCTTTATTGATTAATAGTGTTTCGCAATGAGCCCTTATCCTACAGCTCATCTATGGCACGGCTCATGAGCCGTGTAACATGTGATATATTCTGGGATATCCCATGTTTGGAGTTTTTGCCTTGAAAATCAACATATATGATTTTCTATGTCCCATAACGTGTGCCACGGGTCAACCCGTCCAAGTCTGCCCGGGTGATCATAACCACAACCCGGATACCCGACCCACCTGGGTTGAAACACTAATCTCAAGTCGAATGAAGACAAATCGGGCTCCAACCGGCATAACGTAATCCCGATATGAACCCAGATATTTGGCGGAAATAGGAGACTTTTAGGATGCTAATCGGGTTCATATAAGCGTTCAATACATATCGGGATGCCGATTGCTCTATAGGTAAATCGATAAAGCTATTAGGCAAACATTGTCGATTTACCAATTGAGCTATCGGCATCCCAACCCGATTAGTGTCCTATTTCCGCCAAATATCTATTTCAAATAAGGTTCATATCGGGATTACGTTATGTCGGTTGGAGCCCGATTTGCCTTCATTCGACCTGTGTTGATAAGAAGATAAAACATTACCTTAACCTTTAACTTTGATAGGATAAAATATGATTTATATACACAAAGAATATTTATTGTAATTTTATAAAGCCCAAAGTTATCACGAAAATACTAGGATGTTTTGTTTTCCCATTAATTTTTTTCTCGAATCTGCACCTTTTGATAGTTATTTTTAATAAAATTTTTCATCATCTCCAAGTTCACTTGATTATCAAAATATATCTGTACAGCACTAGAACCAAGCCGATTCCACCATCCAAATAGGTTCAAAGTGTTAAACCATTCTATCAAGTTTTCGTCCTTCCAACTTTTGATTTCCCCATCAGTAATTTCAAGAACTTTCATTATCCCAGTGGGGTCAGGCCCTAAGCCATATGCAAAAGATCGATAACAATCATCAAGTGAATAAAAATGTGTCTTCGATTTAAGTTTACTAGACATCCCTATAGAAAACATAATATTTCAAATAAAATTCTTCAATAACTCGTATAACATGATAATATTTTCATACCTGAAGTCCAAAACCAAATCTGAACTATCCAATTATTTTCCAGGGCCGTTTCTACCACGGGTGTATAATCACGATCTCCAGAAATCAGAATTAATATACCAGGGTTATTAGTATAAATAGTCTTTAATACGCTCATTGAAAGCTTTACCTTTCCAAGATGTGATCTAGGATTCCTATCAAACACAGCAACTTCATATCCTTGTTCTTGCATACGTCTCCAT